ATCGCACTCTTTCTGTATGCATATATCCGTCCCCTTCTCCCCCTCCCCCCTCCCCCGCGCTTGGTGCGGGCGCTGGAGACGGCGGCGCAGGGTCTTCAACGGCGATCTTGAGCTAACGCCTGGTCAGTGTCGTGTCTGCCCCTAACTGGGTGCAGTCGTCTTCTCCCCCAGATTCCCCAAGTGGGAGAAAGGGCGCCCGGCCGAGAGTCCCTAGGTCGCGGCGCGGCGACGGTGGGGGCACGCGGCACACGCCCCGCGTTTGCAGGTGGAGAGACGGAGGGGCAGCGCCGGCCTAGGGAGGGGAGCCGCGTCCCGACAGTGACTCACAGACTTGCTGAATAGGGAAGGTGGCAGGTGGGAGGGCCTCCTGGAGCCAGTCCCCTCCTGCTCCTTGCTCTGCGTGGGAGCCGGGCTGAGCGCCTCCGGACTGCAGTGTTGCCTCCTTACCTTTCTAAAAAGCAAACACCAAGTTTCAGAGCAGAGGGAACACCCAGATACCATCCCCACAGCCCCAGTAGCCACCGTCGACAGAAAATCTGCTCACCGAGTTTGTATCTTTCCTGCCTCTCCCAACGTCACGTTACACAGTGGTATTGTTAGGTTCCCCGTGTGGATGTTCCCTGGCCCCCGGTCCCCAGTGTCAAGAATGAGTGCTGGTACTGAGTGCAGCCGGTGACGGAGTGGTCGCAAGCAGAGCAACTTAATACAGTTTATTATCACGTAAAGGAAAGAATGAAACGAAAGGTAGCTACACAAAGGGAAAATACGTTCCTGAGAGAGGGCCAGTGCCCACGAATGCAGAAAGACGCTGGAGGCTGAGCACGTGTTGCCTTTGGTAAGCCCGCTGGTGTGTCCCGCCTTTGCCTGGCACGATTGGTTGCTGTTTCCCACCTTAGAGGGTGATTGACAGGTTGGTGTTACTTCACATGACAGGTTACGTAACAGGGTAGGTTATATAAGTTTCCCTTTTTGCATGCGTCTTTTCTAGAATTCTCCACGAAGCTCCACCCATGTTATGATAATTAGATGGTAATGAACGCTCAGTCCGTTAAAGGTTACTAGAACTTTTTACTATGAATTTTCCCAGCGGGGAATAGTTCCTCGCTGCAATTTGGTTTCGCCCTTAGCCACCTCCCTGCCACCTGTTTACCCTCCACCAGACCTAGCACTTCTTTCATAAGCACCGAAAGAATCATGTTTTAAAAATATGGATCACCCATCGATTGAGTTTTGGGAAAGCTTCACAGGGCAATGTTGTGGTTCATCTGGTGAAGTACAGCCTTACAGACAAGGCCCTGACAGCTCAGTCGTGCAACATGGACTTTAACATCTTCCCCGCCCCACCTTCCCAGGGGCTGACCGATTCCGGAACCACATCCCCTCCATCACACATGTATTCCAAAGAGTTGGCTACCTTCATAAAAATGAATCCTGATTTTGGTTTATAATTTCCACCTATCTCAAGTTTACTGATAGTTTCCTTTTTTCCAAACCCTCGCAATGCCTATTTACAGCGTTGAAACCTCTCTTAGATGAAATCAAAACCATATCCACAATCAGTTACCTTTTCAGGGTCAGAAATGCAGCTAGTTTCCAGAAATGCAGAGCTGCCCTGCATAATCTCCTCTCCGCTCCACGTGTTCTCCATATTGTTCTGCATTTGAACAATTTCATGGAACTCCAAAGCTGCCGTAGAAGAATGAGTAGTAAATGATTTTATGAAAAGACAACTTGACTTTCAAGATAGGTAGGTAACACTCCTGGAGTCACCCCGGGCAATGACAGTGGAGGAATTCTCTGAACCTGGAAACTTGTTTTTTATGCTGCATTTTGAAACTTAATACTCCTCTAATTACTTGGAATATTTTAGATTGTGCCTGTATTGTCTTTGTTCATCATTTTTTATTACTATCTAACTTGGAAATCAGAGGAAGTGTAAAAGGTATCTGTGATACCAGCTTAGAAAATAACTCTTTAGCTCCTCCTGGTGATCAGGGAGCCACTAAACAATACGGTGAAGGATCTGTTCCCCCAACCCAAGTGGTGATGTGTCGAGTATGATGTCACAGAATAGGCAAGTACTTGCAGATTATCTTGAGTAAATGGAGCATAAAACCTGAGATATTTGAAACAAATCAACCAGAGTGGGAAAGCTTGGGGAAGACATCGACATGTGCCTGATTGTGGAGCTGGGCTGGGAGGTTCTCAGGAGGAGGATGAAGGGGTTCTGGTTTATGTGTGAAGTCAAAACATTCTTACTCTCAGCGGCCTGCCCCTCTCAGTGGGGTGAGGGAGGAGGTGGCCGGGACAGGGATGAGAACTACCAGCAGAAGATAATCAACCACATTCTACTTCATTTTATTATGTTGCCAACATGCTTTCTAATTAAGCAAATGAAAGAGCTACAACTTGAGGACAGAACAACTAAAGCTGTGGCCTCTCCTTACTAAAATGGGAAGAACCCTACAGCTGTAGAATGATTTGAGCTGGAAGATCCCTAAGAGGCCACATATAACTGGAAGTTTTTACACTGGACCTTACTAGGCAGGGGTATGAGAATTCAGGTCAGCTGAGTGGACTGTGCCAAAAAGAAAGTGCCCCATTTAAGGAGACTGGTTTTCAGCTCTTGTTGATAGTGCCGGAACACACTTGCAGGGGCCGATGGCTCCAATTTTTCAAAAGAGTAAAACATCCTGATTTTTTCAGTGATGGCAGCAATTCATTTAAAAAAACAAACAAACAACAACAAAAAAAACAACACAAGCAGGACTTACCTAGATGGGGACTGGACAGTCCGTGCCCTCTGACAGAGGAGCTCTGCACAGACAGCCGGAGGGAGGGCTCCGCGGCTGAAGGGCAGGTTCCCTACCTGGCAACCCAAACTGGGCAGCTCCCCCTTATCTGTTTTGTGCATTGGGCTTCTGGCTTTCTTTGAAGAAAAGTTTCAGTAGCTAAAAACCCTTTCGTGATCACCGGCTGGTCCTGTCTGGTGCAGCTGCAGCCAGCATCAGGGCTCCTGTTTGCTGGGACTGTTTTCTTTCCACTGTACTATGTTTATGGACTGTCTTGTGCCTTTTTGTTAAACTTCATGAACAGAAGTTCAGTTTCTCAGAATCCATAGGGTATGGCTTTGTTTCATTTTCAGCTCGAGGCTTTAAGACGTGAGCTAGCATGGCAGCAGTGGCGAGGTTCTCGTCCTCCATGCCCATCAGTATGTGCTCTATGCCAGGGTTCTGGCTTTGACCTCATGAGTCATTGACTGCTTAGGTAGAAACTTCCTGGAATGGTATTTCTTTCTTTCACTTGTGCACTTTCTTTTATTTCTGTGCTTCATGCCATTTCTAATCATTCAGCACCCCCATCCTCTTTGCCTTTCCTTTTTATTCTTCTGCTTTTGTTGGCCTTTACTTTTCATTTGTATTTCTTTCTCCTGATTTTCTCAATTAATTCTTAATTATTTTCCTTTGGCCTTTCTCCAATCATTCAAATTTTCATTATTCCTTTATTCTACCAAACATCCACCTTTCTCTTCTCTCTTGACACCTACCCATCCCAGCCACAACCTAAACATTTTGAGTTTTAAAAATTTCCATTCTGTCCTCCAGCCTCTGTCAGTCCCCGGCTTCTGCCATCGTTCCATTAGCAGGAGTTCCATTAGCAAGCTTGGCCTTATTCTTCAAAAACTAGTTTTTATGGGAAATTGGGTAACAGAGGATGGTCAAATAACACTCTCCATAGAAACTATGGCTTAAAAGTATGGGAAGCCAAAACGTTTCTTATTAAACAGCTCTTGCTCAAGCTAAGAAAGAAATTAGATCTCTACACCAACGACATGAGTTCCCCAGACAAAAGCAGCTGATGGTCTAAATACATTTTGAAGCATTTCCAAAAGACCAGGGAAAGATAAAAAAAGAGGTGATTTTGTAAAGAAAAGAAAATGTTGCAAGTACACTATTACAAAAACTGAAACATGTCTTTACATTCAGCCACCACAGATGGCACACATTTCCGTAAGCATTTGTATTCATTGAGATTAAGTGGTATATGTGAGTAAGGGTACCAAAGTAAAGGAAATTAACAAAAAAAAAGTGGATGGGAAGCAGGAGAATACACTAAGAATGGTCAAGATTTGGAAGCAGCTTTGCAAT